CTGTTGTGTGGTGCCCATATCTTAAGAAGCACATCAACAAACTGGAAAAGGTGCAAAGACATGCTACTAAGTGGCTCCCAGAACTGAAGGGCAAGAGCTACGAGGAGAGGTTAGAAGCATTAAATATGCCAAAACTAGAAGACAGAAGAAAAAGAGGTGATATGATCACTACATACAAAATAGTAACAGGAATTGATAAAATCGACAGGGAAGACTTCCTGAGACCTGGAATTTCAAGAACAAGAGGTCATAGATTTAAACTAGCTAAACACAGATGCCGAAGAAATATAAGAAAATTCACCTTCGCAAATAGAGTGGTAGACGGTTGGAACAAGTTAAGTGAGAAGGTGGTGGAGGCCAAGACCGTCAGTAGTTTCAAAGCGTTATATGACAAAGAGTGCTGGGAAGACGGGACACCACGAGCGTAGCTCTCATCCTGTAACTACACTTAGGTAATTTACAACACACACTTATGGAGTAATATCTAGTCAAGCATAAGACTAAACTGGAAAAGGTTCAAAGGTTTGCCACCAGTCCGGAGCTGAGAGGTATGAGCTACGAGGAGAGACTACGGGAATTAAACCTCACTTCACCTGGAAGACAGAAGAGTGAGGGGGGATTGCCATGATCACCACATTCAAGATTCCCAAGGGAATCAGCAGGGTTGATAAAGACAGGTTATGTAACACAAGGGGCACACAGCACTAGGGGACACAGGTGGAAACTGAGTGCCCAAACAGAGCCAGAGAGATATACATACAAAAAGAACTTTTTTAGTATCAGAGTGGTTGACAAATGGAATGCATTAGGAAGTAATGTGGTGGAGGCTGACTCCATACACAGTTTCAAGTGTAGATATGATAGAGCCCAATAGGCTCAGGAACCTGTACACCTGTTAATTGACGGTTGAGAGACTCGTGGGACCAAAGAGCCAGAGCTCAACCCCCACAAGCACAACTAGGCGAGTACAGTACATACATTGTAAAAGAAAAATATACAAGTCGCCGACTAGTGGGCAGAGAGCACCACGCCGGCCAGGCAAAGAAGGCACAAAACTGCATCAAAAGGCCCACCTCGACAGCAAAACCGCAAAGTCCCAGCACGACCACAACATGTGCCATGACCCAAAAACATCAGTCTGCAAGCCAGGAAGACCCCGGAACCCCAGAAGGCAGAACCAGGTCACACGAGGAAACAAAATCCCCTGAACCCACAAAAGGGGGCCCAAGAGGAAGAAACCTCAGGAACGAAACCAAAGAACCCAAAGGAACCCAGAATCGAACCAGGGGGAACCAAAACCACCACATTTTGCCGGAGGAGAACACCACAGAAAGGCAAAGCACAGCCCCCTGACAGATCCCCCTGGGAAAACGGTCATAACAGACCAAAAACCGAGGGACGAGGTGTGGGAGCAAGCATACCAGCCAGAGACACTGAGCCCAAACCCAAAGGCCCAGACCCAAAATAGACAAAATGGAAAACCCGGTGTAAAATCAACACCCAAACGTTCCCAGAGGAACAGGCAACGGGCAGAAAACACCAGAAAAGCAAAGAAACGACAACAGGAGAATAAAAACCCCTGAAAAAAATTGAAAACTCACCCGAGACGCTCGCTCGCGCACCCAGTCGCATGTAAACAAACCGCAACGCCGCCCTGGTGGCCACGCTGGGAAACCGGCAGACGAAAATGGCCGCCAGCAGGGGCTGTGACTGACGCTAAATATACAAAAACACGCCAGCAAAAGAGGGAAACAAGCAGACTGGATGGGCGAAAAACGCCGCCCAACAGCAGAAAACCCAGGCAGGGGCAAACCGCCCCAGAACTGCTAGCAGGCATCTCCCACAGCCCCGGGAACCAACAACAGAGGCCCCGGGGCAGAGCCGTCCTCCAAGCCCTCCGCCCTTAAAGAAAAGCAAGAGTCCATGGGAAAGGCAGCAAGAAAGGGCCGCTGGTAAGACCTAGAAGCCTTGGCAGGAGGAACAGGCTCGAAAACCTCCGTCCCCCAACCCAAATGGGGCAGCCCCCAAAAACCGCCCGAGTCTCTGCCCCAACTAAACCCCGCCCCGACCCCGAAACCTACAGACAGACCAGAGCCGTGAACAGGGAGAGAAAGGGGCGAACAGCACCGAACCAAAGGGGGCGGCCTCGGGGCATCCGAGTGGGAAACCAACCTAGCATGTTGCAGCAACCTAACCTAGCTTGCAACACGGATGCCGCCTGTACTTTGAACAGTAATAACATCAGGAGAGTACTGGAGAACAAGCAGAGAATCTCTCGCAAGACTCCGGGTCAAGGTGTCAGTGACCCAACAGGCAGCATGACGGAGGTAAAAATGGCGACTGTCACCCGGAGACAAGGGCACAGCAACCAACAATCCCGTACAAGACGGGTTGGAACCCGGAAGACACATTGAATGGTCCCCCGAGCCCAGACAGGGGTTTCCAGGGCCCGTAAGGGTAACAACTACGGGAAGCCCGGGCTAGGTGTTGCTAAACTGGTTGGGGAGCACTAAAAACAGGTTAAGAAACCCAAACATAAGAGGGTAGAGCATAGCACTGTAAACCCCTGCGACGTGTACAATCACAGGGGCCTAGCAGAGGGCCGCCAAACACTACCAGTGGAACTATAACCACCTTAGGCAGACCCCCACCAGGCAATTGAAAATAAAAACAAAAGAAAAACCCCGCAAAAGTACACCGTCCCCAGAGGCAACAGGAACCAGCCGCCGCTTAGGTGGCAGGCTGTGCAACACCTTGACGCCCTAACCAGCACAATACCAATCCCAACCCAGGGCCAAACAAGGGCCCCAAGCCCCAGCTGGCCCTAAGGTCGAGGCAAATGCCGAGCAGCAAGAACCTCTACGGGAATGGTTCCCAAACGCCTCAGAGAAGATAACCCTGTTACGCAAGGGCAGTACTCATAGGGCACTTAGGGAAGTCAGCCACTAAGCGCATGAAGCCCTGGCACTGATGAGGTACTCCTGCCCACCGCACAACACACAACAGTGAACGCCACACAAGGCAAACACCGCCTAGGAAACTGAGGCCAGAGAAGTGTCTATCCCAGTTGACATTAGCTTACGAACTGAAGCTTGGCAGCCGGCGCGGTAGGTCCGGGGTTCCCCCCTCCCCCTCTCGAGGCGGGGAGGGCTGCGCGGACGATCGGCGCGGCAGTAAAGGGTGATGTTTGCTTGTTTGCTTGTTTGCTTTTTTCCTTGGGATTGTAGGGAGTTTCTACCTCTCTGTTCGGTTTTTTGTTTTAGTTTTTTACCATTTGGGGTTTGTTTTGTCATGCCTACCTTTCTGGGTGCCTGACCTCGTTCGATGGCAGGTAAGGAAAACCCCAACCACAAGAGGGTTTTCCAGTGCCATTGCTCCCTGAAACCTCTCTGAAGGGGCCAGGTACTGGCGCTGGTCCCTGGTAGGTCTGAACTCCTTAGCTAATGTCCCGGTCTAATATAACATACATTAGCCCGATAAGCTCCAGGGAGCCGTAGGGGCTCCCCACAGAAACCACCCAAGTCTCACCACTGCGAGCTAATAAACCTTGCCCCAACTCCAAAACCCGCAGATGTTTGGGAGCCAAGAGCAGGTGGGGGTGGGGCAGGATAAACAAGAGGGGAAGGACGAGGGAGTGAGGACGAAACCAAAGTCAAAGCAACTAGTGCCCTCAAGTCTGTGTCTCTATAACCAAAGCGGGGCAGTCACGGGGCATCCGGAAAGGCGACCAACCTAGAACGCTACGGCAACCTAAAGTGTGCATGCAACGCCGATGCTGCCTGCACCTGATCAACAGTATTATTGGGCTGGATGAATTGAAGAACCAACAGCAAAAACCACTCGCAGGACTTCATGTCAAAGGTGTCATCGACCAAACAGGCAGCATGACGGAGGCAAAAACAGTGAGTGTCACCCTGAGAGAAGGGGACAGAGCAACCTTCAAACTCGCACAAAGCGAGATGGGACTCAAAGGACATATACATCGGACCAATGAGCCCCAATGGGAATTTCCAGGGCCCTTAGGCTGACTGCTAAGTGAAGCCCAGGCAAGGAACTGCTAACAGGTTATCCCAAAACTACAAAACAAACAATAGCTGAACTGCTACAATGTGTACAATCATGGGGGCCTAGTGGGAGACCACCAGAATAAAAGAAGGTGAGTTATGACCAGGAGGCAGAATCCCCACCAGAACCTGGCAGAACCTGGCCCTCCTATCTGATGGTGGCCAGGTTCTGGCTCGTGGTCGCCGGTACGCTTAGAATTCCATTCAAATTGACTGATGTCATGGTCTGATACATACATATCAGCCCGGTATAGCTCCGGAGAGCCTGAGGGGCTCTCCACAGAAATATAAACAATTCTTTGTGTACTTGGCAATTTACATAAATTCTTATGATGTTCTGTGAGGATTAATAACCCTGCAGCAATAGCATTAAAAGATCAGTGCATAACTGGTGCTAATAATGTAACCTACCTGACTGACTTAATTCTTGTCTAGCAGTCCCTGTAGTGCAGTAGGAATACACTCATCCCATGCTTTGTGAGCAATTTGGCCTGGGTTTATATCGTGGCCAGGACGTCTTGATTAGGAACCAATCCTTAACTGTATGCCTCTATTCACCCAGCAGTGAATGGGTAACTTCTTGTTAAATGATTGGCGGGTCATATTTCAGTAAAAATTAAGATTAAGGACCTGCCTAAAATGCTATGCATGCTAGTGACTTCACAAGAATGTAATGCAAGATGCCACAGTGACTCTTACCTTGGAGGGCTAGCAAAGTCAATAGCTCATAAAAAAACCAGCATTGAATGTAAAGAAACACCATTTTCTGGGTGAGTGCCAGAGGCTCCCTGGAACCTCCGGGGTTCCTCCTCAGAAAATATAACAAATATGTAAGGTGTTCCTATAGAGGGGGGAAGCTTAATGACGAGAAATGATCCAGCTGAATTTCTTTCTGACACCACTCACACAGCAACAGTTCATTACAAAGGTACTAACTTCTATCATACTGTGGAGGACTGTTTGGGTTGTATGCCATTGTTACAAATCTCTTCAGAAGGTGGACATCTGTTGTTGGAAGAGAGAAGCCAGTTACATCCAACTTGCACAAAGGTCCTCTAAATCTGACTGCTTTTACCGACTTGCTAGGAGGGATAAAATTTAAAATAACTACAGAATATGCTTTTGGAAGAGGAGAAAAATCAGAAATATAGTTATATGAACCCAATTCAAACAAAATGTATATCAACAATGTTACATTATATACAAAAATGTTTTAGGAAAGTGACTTAGAAACAAATAACAACAAGCACAGAAGATTAGAGCAAGTCATTCAGTTGTTCCCCAAGGCAAAAAAATAATGCCCCCCAGAAAGGTTTATGCTAAGTCACAGTAGGTTTAAAGTATGCATCAGCATGGCAGGAACCTTTTCAAACTCTCCTGACTTTAGCCATCTCACAATTAAACTAATCCAACAAGCAAACCACCCAAGCCCAGGATAATGAGGAACAGGTAGGATGCTCAGAAAAGCAGCATTAAATGTAATGAAATACCATTTCCTTGGTGAGCCCCGGAGGCTCCCCGAAGCTATCATACAATGATTCAGTGCCATACTACTAGCTACCATAAGTTATGGAGTTCTATTGGACTAGTGGGAACCCATGAACCAAAACCTGGCCCCCCTCAGAGAGGCACAGGGATCAAAAGCCTATGAACACGTAACATTTAAACTTTTGTCATCTTTACCACCATCCAAGGAAGGCACCCAAAAATATAGGTGAATCAATAACAGAATCCTGCATGGTTTAAAATGATACCGAAGCCTCAAAATCAACAGAACTCCCCACCAACGAAAACAAACGACCAAAATTTTATGAAATTGGCACTCGCTAGTTTGCCCCCACCTCCTCCCTTGTTGAGGGGGAGGAAAGAGGTGGACTGGGTCAGCAGGACCCCACCACCTCCAGTTCTATAATGATGAAACACACCAACAACCTGTGGGAGGTAGGGTGTCAGGGAGCCTTCGGAGCTCACCCAAAAACTGGTGTTTCATTACATTCAACGATGGTTTTCTGGCAGAGCCCCTTGAGGCTCCCTGATTCTAACTACCCACAGAGAAGGACAAAAAGGGCACATGCCAGAGAGGAGGCAACGCCACAGGTATCAATTCAAGTATGAAATCTTTGGCTGCGGCACAGGACCCAAGACAACACAAGGCCGCCGAGGACCAGTAACCTTCACAACACACCTGGCCGCCAAGAACCTCTCCGACCTCCAAAACCCAAGTGCCAGAATATGGTATTAGCAAACACTGCTGTTAAAGAGGAATACTTCTGGACATCATGGGCATGAGGGCAGACCGCTGGCTGGCTAAATTTAATGACACTGTAGACGACCTGAGAAATACGAGCCCTGGAACAAGGAAACAATGAAACTGGATCAACCCACGAGTCCACCGAAGCAGAACCACTGTAAAGGCATGCTTTTGTTTCTACTCATCCTTACTAAAGAAGTGGGATAAATATAACAATCCCCATGGGGATTAGAAAGCCCTCTTCAGAGGACGGCAATACTTGGTGTTATATTAGGTTTTCCAGGACATACCTCATACAACAGTCATATTTCAAACAGCAAGTTTAAGACATTTACATTGGATAAAAAAATGTTTACAAATAATAGCTTCCAAAATCATACAGGGTTTATTTCAATAGGCTTAAGCTTAGAGGTACAATATACTAGGAGCGTGGTTGTCATTTGCAGACACTACTGAACAAGGACTTTCCAAAGATTATTAGTCCCACAAAACTTGGACTTCATTATTCTTACAGTATTGAATAACATAGCACCACAAGTACAAGAAGTCACTGCCCCCTAGTTACCATATGGAATGTCCTACCATCTTGACCTAACAGGTGGGATGAGCACCCAAACGTTACCACCGCACAAAGAACAGTGAACGAGCATCAGTCCATGTTTACACTCGCTGCCCTCCAGAGTTCCAATGTTTTCTGGTTCCCTATCTATTTATTTTCATTTATTTTCTGGGGAGAGCCCCTTCGGCTCCCCAGAGCTTACTAGGCTGATATGCTAATGTCAGACTTTGGCGTCAGTCATGTGTATGGAGTTCTAGGGCCTACCGGGGACCACAAGCCAGAACCTGGCCCTGTCAGAGAGGCATGGGAAGCAATGGCCTATAGAAACCCCCGTGTAGTTGGAAGCATTCTATGTCTGCCATCAACCAGGTCAGGCACCCAGAAAGGTAAGCATCCCAAAACAAACCCCTATTCTGGTGAAAATATTGCTACCAAAACCCAAACAAGTGGATAGAACTCCCCTAAAAGAAACGAGCAAATGACCATGACGTCACACGTCGTTGCGCCGCTGTCTGCGCAGCTCCCACCCTTCCCGAGAGGGAAAAGGGGAAGCCCCAGACCCCTTGTGCCGGCTATCCACCCTTCAGTTCTTAGGCTGGTGCAAGAGGCAGAGGTTGTGTGCTTGGCTCCAGCATTTCCAGCATGGTGCTTTGAGTTTGGTGGCTGTCTTCCAGGGGGTGCGAGAGCCAGGAGTTATTCTACAGTATTCGGGCTGCATGCGCCTAGGATTATCGTCCCTAGGTGCCCTGTAAGTACTACCCTTGGAGCTTGGGGCCACCTTCCACAAGTTCCTCAGGGCCTGCCTTTGCTAGGCCATATTACTGCTCGGTTTTTTGGCTACCCTTTGGGTGCTTGGGGGTTTAGTCTTCTTGTTTACCTTAGGGTAAGAGGCAATTTGCACTGGTATGGGGCGCAGGGTGCTGCGCAGCTTGTTTTCACCATTCACAGCAGCCGGCTCTGTTCCTTGGGGTACGTTGTCCTCTTGTGGGGTTTTGTTTTTGTTTTTGTTTTTGTCTTGTGGGAGGGTCTGCCTTGGTTGCCCCTTTGTGCCTGACCTGTGCATGGTTTTATTCTGGTGGTGCCCCCTGCTAGGTACCCGTGAGTGTACACGTTTCTGAGGTTCAGCTTTAGAGAGTTGTTTGGTAGTTTTGGGAGCCGGTTAGCAGTACCCTGCCTGGGATTTCCTGAGCGTGAGTTTCGTCTCAGGACCCTGGGAAACCTCTCGGGGGGCGCGTGGGTCTGATGGATGTGTCCCCGGAGTCCCCCCTCACTTCGTGTGAGTTCGAGGGTTGCTTGGTCCCCTTGGTTAAGGTTAACCCTCACGGTTTTTGCCTCCATCACACTGCCTGTTGGGTCAGTGACACTTTTGACCCGGAGACTTGCGAGTACTGTTGCTTGCTTGGGACTCAGTTTACCCAGTCACAGGATGATGTTCTACAGGTACAGGTGGTGCAGGCACATGCACAAGTGTGCATGTGCACTTTAGGTTGTTGCAACACACTAGGTTGGTTGTTCACCGGGATGCCCCGTTTTGCCTATAAGGACTCGGAGTTGGGGGTGGGGGGTCACTTTGACCTTGTTTTAGTCCATGCCCCCTCATATCCCTCCCCTGTTGTAGTTCATTCTGGTCCCCCCCCCCTTCCCCTGGTTCCAGCCCCGAAACGTCTGAGGGTTTCGGAGTTGGGGCAGGGTTTAGATGGTCTTGAGACTCGGGCAGTCTCAGGGGATGCCCCTTCCGGAGTGGCAACGGAGGCTTTCAAGTCCCATCTCCCTGCCGAAGCCTCCGGGTCTGACCAGTGGGCCCCCTTCTGTTCGGCTTACTCAGCTGCGCCAGCCTTTTCTTTAGGGGAATGACTCGGCCCCGGGTCATGTGGAAGAGGATCCTGGGGCGGGGGAGGGGGCTGACTTGGGGGGCCTTGGGCCCCGCTGAACCCCGCCTGGATTTTTTTATCCTCTGAGCAGGGCTTATTGTTACAATAAGTGGAGTTCTCTTTTTTCCCCTCTGCGTACAAGTTGGATTTGGTGCCTGCCCCTCCCCGAGTTCCGTTCCGTGTTCCCCCGGGTGCGTCGGTTCCATCCTTCTGGAGGTTTTCAACTTCCCGCATCCAACCGTCTGCGGTGCGGGCGGCCCTTGCAGCTAACCTCCTGCGTGACACGAATTATGCCTTGGTGATGGATTCGTCGTCTTTCAGGTTTGAGGCTTCGTTCCCTTTCTGGGTCCATTACGAGGTTCCAGAGACATCCTGGCTGGCAGACTGTCCTGTGTTTGCTTTGGAGGCTTGGCATTCCTTCTGTCATTCCCGCACGCTTGAGTGGCACGAGGCGTCGACAGTGGTTCAGGTTTTCCTGGGGGGCGACCTTGAGCACCTCTGTGAGTGCTTGTTTGCTCCTGCCCTTCCCCGGGATGTTAGTGTTGTGCAGCTCCATGTGCAGGTTCCCTCCCTTTCGGCTTTGCAAGTTGCTGAGGACATGCAGGTCCGGGGGTCTCTTGGCTTCGGCCTTACGTTTCTTTTCCCTCCTGGAGCTGTCTTCGGACTGGCTCGAGGTGAATGTGGGGACGCTTGGGGTCGTTCCAGGGTCCAGCACCTTGGGCTCGGTGGCTCGCTCGTCGGCTGCCTTGTTGAAGCTGTTGAAGCTGAACTTGCGGGATGCGGTTTCCCTGTTTTATGCTTCCCGGCTCGCATGTTGGTGGGCGGTACTTGCCTCCACTCTGGAATCGGCCTGGGCCCAGGCTCTTAGGATGTCTTCGCCTTTTGTCCGCTGCTTTTTGCTCCTTCAGCCGTTGCACAGTATATTCAGGCAGCTTTGGCCAGTTGCCATCCTATGTCGGACTTGTTGGTTCTCCGAGGGTCCCAAGGGGTGCCTTCTTGGAGGGGTTGTGCCAGGACTTGGGGTTCCTCTCATCGTGGTAGGCCACAGGTGCCAGTTTTGGACTCAGCTTCGCCTTCAGATCCGCCTTCATCTGGTCGGCGCGGTGTTTGCCTTGTGCTGGGTTCTGGGTCTCGTAAAGGGAGCTGGCCCTTTCGCGGTTCAACCCATTGATGGGGGGGTGGAGGCTTGCGCTGTTCGCTCAAGCCTGGTCCCACGATTTGTGGGTATTTCGGGTCGTTTCCTTTAGCCTGCGGTGGTATTGGATGAGCCCCTCCCCCTCCCCCTTCGGGGAGTTCGGGGCTGGCGGGGCAGGCCTCTTCTCCCGCTCTCCGTCAAGTCGTCATGGAGTGGGTTTGCTTGGGTGTTGTCAAAATGACATCGTCCCCTTAGATGGGTCTCCCGTCTGTTTCCAGTGCCGAAACGGGACTGTGAGAACCTACGGTTCATTCTGGACTTGTCTCGTCTGAACCCCTGTGTTCATTGCCCTTCCTTTCGGGTGACTACTCTATCTCAAGTTCGGCTCCTGTTGGAGCCGGGTTCTTGGATGGTGTCCCTGGACCTCCGGGATGCTTATTGGCACGTCCCAGTTCATCCGGGGTTCAGAGACTGGCTCGGTTTTGTTGTGGGGCTTCAAGGTTACCGCTTTCGTGGTCTCCTGTTCGGGTTGAATCTGGCATCTCGCATGTTCACATGCCTTATGCGTGTTGTCGTGGCCCGTCTGCGTCCGATAGGTGTTCGGGTCATGGACTACCTCGTCGACTGGCTAGTTTGGGCTCCCAGCCAGTCCGGTTGTCTGCTAGCCACAGATTTGATTCTTTCCCAGCTCACCGGGTTCGGGTTCTTGGTGAACTGGAGGATGTCCTATCTGGTTCCCACCAAGGTTCGGTCATGGCTGGGGTTTTGTGTGGGACTCTCGAACTGCTTCCTTGTCTCTTCCTCCGGAGTCTCTCCTCAGGCAGCAATCTCACCTGCGCCTGTTTCTGGGGCTCCCGGATCACTCGGTGGTTGCTCGAGGGTTTGTGCGGGAGCCTGAACTTTGCGATGATGTTCAACCCGCCAGGTCGGGTTTGGCTTCGTCGGCTGTTCTGGTTCCTTTGGGGACGTCCCTTCCGCCTCTCTCGCGATCGCTAGGTTCGATCCCCTGGGGCCTTGCGTCAGCTGCTGCGTCGCCGGCTTCCTCTTCGGGTTTTTCAGAGTTCAGTGCCTTGGCGCCTGCTCGTGCTCTCATTCCATGTGTTCACGGACGTGTCGTCTCTCAGTTGGGGTTTTGTGACCTGTGCTCACCAGGCCGGCCAGGGGCGGTGGGATCCGCCCTGCCATCAAGCTCACAGCACGGTGCAGGAGTTCACGGCAGTGTGGTTTGCACTTCAGAGGGTTTGGGTCACCCGCAGATCGAAGATCCAGCCCCATTCGGATTGCTTCCTAGTGGTTCATTGCCTGAACCGATGGGGTTCGATGCTGAGTTTTTGGGGGTTTGGCTCTCCTGGCTGTTCATGTGCGGGGAGTGTCCTACATCTTGTCCGACGGCCTGTCTCATTTCGTTCCCCTCTCCACAGAATGGATGGTCGACGCCGACTCCTTCCATTGGCTCTGCCAGACGTTCAGGCACCCCAAGGTGGACCTCTTTGCGTTGGCGTGGTCGCGGCGCCTTCCCCAGTTTGTGGAGTCCTTCCCTGATTGCGAGGCCGTCGAGGTCGATGTTTTTTGGCAGGACTGGTCGAGGTGGGGATTCCTGTACCCCCCCCCCCCCGGTTCAGCTGTTGCTCCAGGTCCTGAATCGCTTGGAGACCTACCAGGGAAGAGTAGTCATCTTGGCCCTGTCGTGGCCGGCCCAGCCGTGGTTTCAGGTGCTGCTTGCCTGGTGTCCGCACCCAGAGGTTTTCCCGTGGCTCCACCTCTTACAACAGATCGGCCTGGTGGGTCACGTGGCTGGTTCGATCTCGAGTCTTCCTGTATGATCTTTTTGACTCAAGTGTATCATCTCAATGGTGATCAGGTGGCTTCTTTGTTGGTGTCCCACCTGCGGGCTTCGTCTCGCCTGCAGTATGAGGTCTCCTGGCAGTCCATCTGGTTCTTTTTATGTCTTCGTTGTTGTCCTTCGCTTTCTGTTAGGTTGGTGTAGTCCTTTCTCTATTGGTTGTTCCAGGACCATCACCTTATGCCTAACACTGTCACCTCGTATCGTGCGGCGCTGGCGGAACCGCTTCAGCTTGCTTTCGGTGTTGACATTACTTCTGCGCTGTTTCGCAAGCCGTCTCGTGCATTGTTTCACCTCTGGCATGCTCATGCACCGCCTGAGCCGTCCTGGTCTTTGAACAGAGTGCTGTCTTTTCTTTCTTCTCCTCGGTTTTTTGTGGCCCCTTTGGTTCAGGATTGTTTCTCCAGGGCTCATTTTATGTCGGCATTGGCCTTTGGGGGTTGGGTTGGGGAGCTTCATGCTCTCCTCCGGCACAGGGGTTTCTGCTCTTTCGGTCTTCATGATGATTTTGTTCGTTTGCAGCCGTCTCCTTCTTTTCTGGCGAAGAATGAGACTGCTGCTTTCCGGAGGAGTCCCTGGGTTGTTGATGCTTGGTTGGTCAGGCCTGGGGTGCATCATGTTTTGTGTCCGGTTGTGCTCTTCGCTGTTATTTGCGCACCACGGCTTCTGTGTCTGGGGAAGCGCTTTGAGTTGATCTGGTTTCCCTTCTTCCCTGTTCGCGGATGCGGGTCTGCTAGGTCGTCTGCAGAGTTATTTAAGCTCACCAGCCTGCGGTCTATCCCAGTGCCCATGACGTTCGTAAGTTTGCTGCTCTTGCTGCCATCTTTGGCAACATGTCCTGGGCTGACATTCGGGCACGGGGCTTTTGGCAGTCGAACAGGGTCCTGGCTGCTCATTAACTAGTGAACGTCCCTGGGCCTCATCGGGCCTGTGTTGCTTTGGGTCGGCGGTTGCAGCCAGTTGTCTCGACTTTGAGTTGAGGATTGAGCAGCGACCGCCTCCCGGGTAAGTCCCTATGTTTTCCTCTGTGGGTAGTTAGCTTCAAGGAGCCGAAGGGGTTTCCCCCAGAAAACCAGCATTGAATGTAATGAAACTCCATTTTCTTGGTGAGACCCAGAAGCGCCCCGGCATCCCTCCCTCCCTCCCTCCCTCCCTCCCTCTGGTCGGTGGTTTTTCGCGTGTTTTGACATCCAGCCTTAGAACTTAAGGGTGGATAACTGGCGCGAGGGGTCTGGCAATCCCCCTTCCCCCTCCCAGGGAGGGGGAAGCTGCGCAGACAGTGACGCGGCAATGTGTGACGTCATGCTTGCTTGCTTGTTTCTTTTAGGAAAGTTCTATCCACTTGTTCAGCTTTTGGTAGCAATATTTTAACCAGAACAGGGGTTTGTTTTGGGATGCTTACCTTTCTGGGTGCCTGACGCAGTCAATGGCAGACATAGAATGCTTCCAACCACACGGGGGTTTCTATAAGCCATTGCTCCCCATGCCTCTCTGAGTGGGCCAGGTTCTGGCTCATGGTCCCCAATATGCCCACAGAACTTTATACACATGACTGATGCCAAAGTCTGACATTAGCATATCAGCCTAGTAAGCTCCGGGGAGCCTCCAGGTCTCACCCAGAAAATGACGTTTCATTACATTCAACGCTGGTTATTTTGTTTAAGCTGGTTTTCCACATTTTACACTTATATTTTCCACATACTTTCCAGTCACAGAATGTACTTGGAATATTCTCTTTTATTAATATTAAATATTAAATATTTGTTTACACCGTTATAGAGAGGGTCGTTCTCCACTGTAATTATACACTCTGCACATGTGTAGAAGAACTGCTGAGTTTTAAAAGTGGCATCCCCCACACTGATCCCTTCCTTATACCATACTCTGCAAAGCTCAATCCAACATAGAGGTCAATGATTCCAATACAGTAAGACAACTACTATGCTAAATGCTAATCGGATTACACAATGGAAATTAACTCAACTTCATGTTCTTTTAGCCAGAGTAAACCAATTTCCTTCTTTATTATTAGTTTTCATTGTGCTTATCTATAAGAAGAATAAGATTACAAACACAAATGACTAACCATTGGATAAATATTTCAGGTACGGCCTGTAGAGCCTCTAAAAACTTGACCCGTTTCTCTTCCAATCTTGTAAGCGTGATCCTCTGAGGCTTTGAGGTAGGTAATGGTAAAGGTGGAACAAGTTCTTTCAGGATCATGGTCTCATATGGCCAGTTGATGGTCAGGGCACGTAAGACTGGCATGGCAGCTCTTGCTTTCTCCAAACAATCCCCTCCTATCAAAGGATAACTTACGAGTGTCAGTTTTCTTATTTACAAAAGCACACATACACATAAGAATGTACACAAATTATTTTTGTTTCCCACCTTTTGCACAACTATGTACATCAATATGATGAAACTTTTTCTTACACAGGAAGCAAGACATCATATTTCTGGACATATGACTAACTGGAAACTCCACTAGTTGGTTATTTTCCACTAGTAGAGTGAGCTCACAGGTTTGTGCAGTGCCTCACTGTCAAGTACATGATTGGTTTGTCAAAAATATTATAATTCTCATTATTCATTTAGTCTAAATAAAATTCAAGTGTTGTAACTTAATTTGGCAAGAAAATTATATAACAGACAAATAAAATTAAATAACAAGTGTCTCATATAATTATTGTTTACTTTAGGAATGTGTATTACTTATTTGATTCCATTAATAATAATTAATAGATAGGAAAGGTAACCCAAAGCAGCAACACTCAAAGAAAGAAAAAACCAGCATTGAATGTAATGAAACGCCATTTTCTGGGTGAGCCCCAGAGGCTCTCTGGAGCTTATCGGGCTAATAATCGGGCTAATGTATGTTATATTAGACCGGGACATTAGTTATGGAGTTCAGACCTACCAGGGACCAGCGCCAGAACCTGGCCCCTTCAGAGAGGTTTTAGGGAGCAATGGCCCTGGAAAACCCCATTGTGGTTGGGGGTTTTACTTATTTGCCATCGACCGGGGTTAGGCACCCAGAAAGGTAGGCATAACAAAACAAACTCCACATGGTAAGAAACTAAAACAAAAAAAAACAGAGAGGTAGAACTCCCAACAATCCCAAAGAAACAAGCAAACAAGCAAACATCACACTTTACTACTGCTGATTGTCCGCACAGCCCTGCCCTGCCCTCCCCTCCCCAAGAGGGGGAGGGGGGGCCCCCAGACCTCACCGCGCTGGCTGCCTAGCACCAGTTTGAAACCTAAGCTTCAACCAATGCGAAAAACCGCCGACCGGTGGGAGGAAGGGTTGCCAGGGAGCCTCCGTGGCTCACCCAGAAAATGGCGTTTCGTTACATTCAATGCTGGTTTTCTGTGAGGAGCCCCTACGGCTCCCTGGAGCTACATACCCAAAGAGAAGGAAAAGAAAGGGCTGATCCAGGAGGCAGCCACCACAAACTCTGCAACACGAAGTCGAGACAACAGGCAGCAACCTGTAACCCAAAGCAACACAAGAACGCACAGGAGCAGACACACTCACAAAATAATGGGCGGCCAGGAACCTGTGCGACCCCCAAATTCCAGTGCCCGAAATGATCCCAAGACGTCACCAAATACGGCAGCGAAAGCTGCAAATGTCAGAACGGCACGGGTGCAAGGATACACCACAGGCTGGCAGACTTAAGAACCCTCCGGACGACCTGGAAGACCTGAGCCCTGAAACAGGGATTGAAGGGAACCGGATCAACCCAAAGCGCATAACCAGCCACGGCATGCAGGTAACGGCGAAGAGCCGCAACCGGACACAACACATGATGCACCTCCAGTCGAACCAACCAAGCATCAATAACCCCTCATGAAAGCAGCCGACTCGGCCGTCGCAAGAAGGACGGATAAAGGCTGCAAACGTACAAACCTACCACCAGTATCAAAAAAGCAGAAACCCCTGCGCCTGAGGAGAGCCGGAAGCTCCACAACCCGACCTGCAGAGGCCAATGCCAACAAAATATGGCCTTTGAAAAAATCTTGAACCGAAGGGGCTACCACAAACTGAGGAGAGGAAAGATAAGAGAGCACCCTGATCAAGGATCAAGACGGCTCAGGTGACGCATAAGCAGGCCGGAGGTGAAACAAAGCACGAGAAAGCATGCAGAATGTGGCGGATGTGACGTCCACCCCAAACGCAAGCCGGAGCGGCTCCACCAGCGCCGCACGATACAAGGTGACTGTAAGAAGCATCAATTAACGTTCCTGAAAAACCAAGAAAGGACAAGACAACCCAATGCTAAAAAGAAGACAACCTACGAAGAGCAAGAAAATGGCGAATAGAAACGCCAGGAAACATCATACTGTCGCCGAGACGAAACTCGCAGGTGGGACACCATCAAGGAAGCCACCTGATCACCACAGAGATAGTGATATACCCGCGTCAAAAGACCGGACGCGAAGAGCCGAGGAAAAGGCCGAACCAGCCACGTACAGGACCGATTCGACTTGCCGAAGGAGGCGGAGCCGCAGGAAACGCCTTGGGTTTGGACACCTATCAAGCAGCATTTGAAAACAAAGCTGGGCCGGTCACCAAGGGGCCATGAGGACTACTCTTCTTGGGAAGGACTCCAACTGAACCAGAACCCGAAGCAACAGCTGGACCGGGAGAGGTAAAACAGGTAACTCCACCTTGACCAGTCTTGCCGAAAGGCATCCAATGCGAACGCCTCACAGGCAGGTAAGGGCACCACATAGAATGGGAGATGCCAAGACCACGCCGACGCGAAGATGTACATGTCAAGGAATCCGTACGTCCGGCAGAGCCAACGAAACGAGTCGGCAATGACCGGCCAATCCGTGAACAGAGGAATGAACCAAGACAGGCCGTCCTGTCTCGGGAAGTAGGACACACCCCAGACATGAAACACACGGATAGCCAAACCTCGAGAATCCAGCAGACGAGCCACTCAAAGGGACCAACCCCAAAGGTCAAGGACCTAAAAGAACCCCCGTGGTTCCGGCAATGAACCACCGGAGAACAGTCTGAATGAAGCCGGACGGTAGAGCTCCGAGTGACCCGAACCCTCCGAAGCGCAAACCAGACAGCCACGAACTCCCGAACCGTGCTGTTAGCCTGACAGACAGACCCCACCATTCCCAGCCGGCCTGGGAATGGTGGTTCCGGTGCCAAGGCACGGAACCCCAAAAACCCCAAAGAGGAAGCCGGCGACACAGCACCAGCACCAGATCCCTGGAGGACGAACCCATCGATCGCTAGAGAGGCAGAAGGGGGAGTCCCCGAAGGAACCAAACAGACGCCGAAGCCAAACCCGACCCGACGGGCAGACCAGCACGGCGAAGTTCAGACTCCTGCACAACCGTTCGTGCTCAAAAGCACCTCTTTCGCCTCCCCCCTAAGTAAACCTGCAACACCATAGTGAGCTTTCCCCACTCAAGTGTGCGGGTATGACAAAACGCATGCCATGCCCCAAGCGAAAAGAAAGGGCAGTCCACAAGCCAGGAAGAGCCTGGAACCTCATAATGCACCCAATACGGGGAAGAAGACCCGAACTCAAAAGAAATCGGATCCATCACAGAGGCAAAATCTGGGTCTCGCAGGAGGTAAGCACCGAGGGCCTCTCGAACATCTGTAGGGAAAATCCGAGAGATAGACATCCTCAGGAAGGATGAAGCCGAGGAACCCAAGGGAACCTGGAAACGAACCCGAGGGGGAGCCGAACCCATATCAAATTCATACAAGGAAGGGAGATATGAAAACCCGAACCTTGCAACAACAGACCCCGCCCAGAAGGTACCAAAGCACGGCAGGATCGAAAGGGGACCCAAGCGCCCCAGGCTGCTTCCCCCTCAGGCCCGGAAGCCTCCAACCCGGCTCTGTGGCAGTCATCCCCCCATGCCCTCTACCCTTGAAGAAAAGGCAGAGTCCAAGGAAAAGGTCTCAAAGAAGGGAGCCCGCAGGTAGGGCCCACAAGCCTCAGCGGGAGGAACCGGCTCAAATGCCTCAGTTTCCACATCGAATGGGGCAACCCCTGGAGTCACCCAAGTCTCATCCCCAGCTAAACCCTGCCCTGACTCTGAAACCCTCAGACGTCTGGGAGCCAGCAGCAGGAAAGGAGGAAGAGGGTGAACCATAGCAACAAGGGGAGGGCGAAGGACTGAACCAAGGTCAAAGCGACCAACACCCCCAAGTCTGGGTACCTAAAACCAAAACGGAGCAGCCCAAGGGCATTCACACAGACAACTAACCTAGCCTGCAACGCGCAAGCTGTTTGACCCCTATCTGCAGCTAAAGTAGAGTGGGTAAACTGGAGAACCACAACCACAACCCAGGAGGCCAGAGAGAGAGACGGCCGCTATGGTTATGCAAGCTGCGCAGTCTAGTGCTCTGCAACCAACAACAACCACCCCTTACCCAGGGTCAAACGAAAGCACCAAGACCTTAGCTGACCCCAAGGGCGAGGCAAAAGCCAAGCAACCACTACCTCTACGGGAGTGGGAACCCAAAGATTCCAGGGAAGGGAACCCCAAAATCCAAGGGGTGTACTTACAGGGTGCTTAGGGAAGGAAGCCCTAAGTGCATGCAGCCCTGGGTACTGGTTGATACCTGGTTGATGGGGTTCTGGGAGTTCTTCTACTCCTCAAGCCCGGCCCGAGGCCAGGCTTGACTTGTGAGAGCTTGATCCACCAGGCTGTTGCTTGGAGTGGCCAGCAGGCCCACATACCCACCACAGCCCGGTTGGTCTGGAACGTCTTTTAGAAAACAGTCTAGTTTTCTCTTGAAGATGTCCACGGTTGTTCCAGCAATATTTCTGATGCTCGCTGGGAGGATGTTGAACAGCCGCGGACCTCTGATGTTTATACAGTGTTCTCTGATTGTGCCTATGGCACCTCTGCTCTTCACTGGTTCTATTCTGCATTTTCTTCCATATCGTTCAATCCAGTACATTGTTATTTTACTGTGTAGATTAGGGACCTGACCCTCCAGTATTTTCCAGGTGTATATTACTTGGTATCTCTCTCGTCTCCTTTCTAGTGAGTACATTTGGAGAGCTTTGAGACGATCCCAATAATTTAGGTGCTTTATCGCGTCTATGCGTGCCGTATATGTTCTCTGTATTCCCTCTATTTAAGCAATCTCTCCTGCTCTGAAGGGGGAAGTGAGTACTGAGCAGTACTCGAGACGGGACAACACCAGTGACTTGAAGAGTACAACCATCGTGATGGGATCCCTGGATTTGAAAGTTCTCGTAATCCAGCCTATCATTTTTCTGGCTGACGCAATATTTGCTTGGTTATGCTCCCTAAACTTTAGATCGTCGGACATCATTATTCCCAAATCCTTGACAGGCTGTTTTCTTACTATAGGCAGATTCGATTGTGTTTTGTACCCTGTATAATGGGGCCTCGACTTACAATGCTAATCCGTTCCCAGAGATGGTTCGTATGTCGAAATATCGTAAGTCGAGGCGAATTTTCCCATAAGAAATAAAGGGAATTGAATTAATCCGTTCCCCACCCTCCAAAATATTAACATACAAATACATTTTATACTGCATACAATGTTTTTTTCTAACTACAATACAGTACCTAAGTTTCTCTTACCTTTATGGAGGGCTCTTGATGGCGTATGGAAGATGGTGATGAGGGGGGAGGAGGAGAGTTGTTACTGTTTGGAAGGGGAGTTCCCTTCCATTATCACATCAGGTAGTGATGTTCTCTCTGGGGTACTCTCTCTCCTACGTTTTGCCTGAACACCACTAGGACCTGGTTGTGGTTCAGTGCTTGTTTGTCTCACTACAAATTTGTCAAGAGACATTTGTTTTTCCCTTCGTTTTAACATTTGTCTGTAAAGATGCATCACAGTGTCATTGAATAGGTTAAGGCAACGACCTACTGCAGCTTGATTTGAGTGAGTCGTTTCAGCAAAGGTTTGCAATTCTTCCCATGCTGCACACATTTTCTTAATTGTTGAGGAAGAAACATTCTGTACTCTTGTTTCTGCTCTATGGTCATCCTTACATGGGTTTTCATATGTTGAGCCTTACCACTGACTTTCCTGGGACTCATGGCGTGATATATAATAATTAATGTTCAAAATGCAAAAAATCACCACAAAAGCGAAATTTCTTATAGGCGCGATCGTCACTGAGCTGGCAGCTGTAGTAAACCGAGGCAGATTGGCCGCGTGACCGGGAACCACGCACTCGGTCGACCCGAACGTGTACCAACAAATATCGGAAGTCGACGACACCATCGGATGTCGGGTCGCATTTTTTTATGAAATTTACATCGTAACTCGAAATTATCATAAGTAGGGGCAATCGTATGTCGAGGTGCCACTGTATTATGTTTCAGGTCCTCATTAATGCCGTACCTGAGTACCTGGAATTTATCGCTGTTAAACATCATGTTATTTTCTGTTGCCCAATCAAAAACTTTGTTGAACTGGACTCCTGGCCACTGCACCAACACACAGCAAGTACCACTGCATCGATGGAAATCCTGTCAGGTAATTGCAACCAGAGTAGACAGTCGACAAACTGGAGGTCTGGCCGCCAGCTTGGTGGGGGCAGGGCTTACCCTCCCCATCCTGGGGACGGGGGTTGGCACGAATAAGCAGCGTGCAGGGTAATGACATGTTGCCTGTTACCTTGTGTTCCTTGGAGGGAGTTTCTAGCCTCTGTTCAGTTTCAGGTTGCAGTTTTTCTACCAGGAGGAGTCTGTTTTGGGGTGCCTACCTTTCTGGGTGCACAACCCCGGTTGATGGAAGACATGAATATACTCTCATACAAGGAAGTTTCATAGGCCATTGCTCCCTGCACCTCTCTGTAGGGACCAGGTTCTGGCTCGTGGTCCCTGGTATGCTCAAACTCCGTAAGAGTGAAGCTCCAAACTAATATAGCTAATATCAGTCCGACAGATCCAGGGAGCCAATGGGGCATCCCACAGAAAACATCTTTTACATTGAGATTTTTTATTAGATTTCAATTCAGACAAATAATGAAAAATGTTGAAAACATACTGGAATAGAAGCTCTTCTGCATGACAGCCTGAAACAGTGCGGAATAAAATGTGTGTGGAACCTTGGGTAAAATACGAAAGGCTGTGTGTTCATCTTTCATTATAGCACAGGCACTTAGAAACTCCAGTCTTGAAAAATCTTGGTCGCCCAACTTTGTGGTGTGAAGTGTATCGTCCTCACTTATACAAGCCATCTATGGGGGTAAGAGTAAACACGAAAGAAAAGGTCAAAAGAAAGGTGCAACAAGATATTGTAAACACTGTACTTGAAAATTATGTACTTGTGTAATATATGCATCATTACTTCTAATTAATGATGGTATAGAAAAATTAAATAATAATACAGTATATAATATTTACTAGTAATATTATATTCCATAACCTCCCCCCCCCCAAAAAAAAAATGGCAATGAATATAATGATACACCAATTTCTGGGTGAGCCCCAGTGACTCTGAAGCTATTCACTAATGTGGTTCTCATCTACCAGGTCGCATCAGCCATCTACCAGGTCACATCAGCCATCTACCAGGTCGCATCAGCCATCCACCAGGTCTCATCAGCCATCCACCAGGTCTCATCAGCCATCCACCAGGTCTCATCAGCCATCCACCAGGTCTCATCAGCCATCCACCAGGTCGCATCAGCCATCCACCAGGTCGCATCAGCCATCCACCAGGTCACATCAGCCATCTACCAGGTCGCATCAGCCATCTACCAGGTCGCATCAGCCATGGAGGCCTACCAGGGACCAGAACCAGAATCTGGCCCCCTCTCACAGAGGCTCAGGGAGCAGTGATTTTTCGCCACCTCACCAGGAGGTGGCAAAATAGGCGTCTAGAAAGTCAGCAAGTCAAAACAAACCACAACTGAGTTCAAGAGACTGAATCCTCACAACCCGCTTAATTAACTCCCACCAATTGTGTAAACAAATGATCGAATCTCCTGAAACTAGCACAAGCTTCTCTGCCCCGATTTCCCCTACTTGTTTGAGGGAAAGGGGCTCACCACTTCAAAGGGTTTAGGCAGCTAGTTTTGAAGTAAATACACAAAGAAGACCCACCAGACTCTCTGGAAAAGAGGGAGAGGACCTGGAAGTCACCGGGACTCATCCAGTAATTGCCGTTTCATGGGTAGCCCCTTGTGGTTTTCTGAAGCTAACTACCCCACAGAGAAGGGATAAACACAAGGAAGAGTGAATCACAAGAGAAAGGACAGCAACCTCTTATGAGAGACACGATCCAAAACCACATAAGGATGCCAAGGTCAAATACCATTCATCAAACCTCGGGCCACTAGAACCCTCTTAGATCACCAAAACAGCCGTGCGAGCGGCAATTTCAAACATCAACGGCATGAGGGTAGACCACAGGCTGGCTAAAATTAAGAACACTGCAGATGACCTGCCCACAAAGCATCCATTAAAGCAAAATCGGTGGCACAAAAATAGTGGCAGAGAGTTCCCACCAGGCATAGAACCTGATGCACCCCCAGCAGAACCAACTAAGAATCAATAATCAAAAGCCCACTCCGAAAGAAACCAACCAACTTGACCTTCACCAGAAAAGAAGAAGCCGGCTGCAAATATACAAATCGTCAATCAGGGTGAAAGGAACAGAACCTGCATCTTATAAGGAGACCCTAAAGCTGTCTCAACAACCAGAGGCAAGAGCAACCAAAAACAAGGCTTGGAAAAAGAATCCCGGACTGAAAGGGACACAGTGAAATGAGAAGAAGAAATGTGAGAACATGATCAATTGACTGCACAGGCTCAGATGATGCATGAGCGGGCCAGAGGTGAAACAAAGTACAAGACAGCCTGCAAAATGGACCAAAGGTAGAACAGTACTGGTGCCGAATGCAAGCCACAGCAACTCCACCACATGATATGAGGCAACAGGCAACAGCATGAGATGCCAAACAAGAAAAAGCCAAGAAAAGAGAGCACCACCCACTTGGAAACCAAAGAACAACGATGAAGGAAAAGTGATGAATGAAGCACCATGAAACCTCATACTGCCACCTAGAAGATGAATGCAGTTGGGGACACCACCAAGGAATCAACCTGTCCATCATAAAGATAGTGATAAAGACGAGCCAAAACACACCCACATTGAATGTAATGAAACTCTAATTTTTGGTGAGCCCTGGTGGCTCCCTGAAGCTATTACTGATAGTGTGTCAAATTGGTCATGTTTTGGCCTGTCACTATCAGTGACAGGCCAAAACAAGGCCAAAACATTGGCCTTGTTTTGGCCAAACATGACCCCTGCGACTGATGTGACCCAGTTGTGGGGAGCTATTTCAGCGACTCACTAAGGGCGTCCTTACAAAAAAATCTTAAACACAGTATTTTGAGTAATATTATTACTAACCTGATTGTTGATTTTTGGCATCAAAGGAGGAAGGATTGAATCCAGTCGATGATACAAACATCCACCCAGCATCCTGAGTACCTTCGAGTGTCCTGAAAACCATGTTTAAATTTTTTTAAACTTAATTATCATACATTTGTACAGTAAAGACAAATAAAATCAGTTAAGAAAATACAATACTGTAGACTATAAAGAAAAAGCATAAATTTTAAAAGTCAACTATCAATTTTATGCAAGAGCATTTTCTCTACAGCCCACTTTTGAGTGACTAGCACAGAATTTTGTTAAGAATCTTAAGGGGAAATGAAATGCCAATTTCTGGGCGAGCCCCAGTGGCTGCCTGAAGCTACTATCACTGATAGCTTACCAACTATAAAAAGTCTGTGAAACTAAACAGACCACTTTTGGCTTCAAACAAGACTGCAGCTTCAAGAACCACCCAAAGAACTCTCCCCCCCCCCCCCCCAACAATGTACACATATGATTGCAATCTTGAGACTAGCACCAGCTTGTTCACCCCTCACCTACCCCCCTCCCTCCCTCCCCTGGGGAAGGGGGAAGGCAGCTAGTCATGGGCAGCCAGCTCCCTCACCCTCAGTTCTATGGTAGATGTAACCAACCTCCCAATGAACTGGAGGAAGGGTATCGGGGAGCCACCAGGGCTCACCCAGAAGTTGGCATTTCATTATATACAACACTGGTGTTCTTGGGGAGGGGGGCAAGCCCCTTGTAGCTTCCTGAAGTAACTACCCATGGAAAAGGGCAACAAATCGGCACTCACCAAGAAGGAGGGAGCACTGTGGGAATCAGGACAAAGAAAACATGCCCAAACAAGAGACACGACCCAACAGCACATAAGGGTGCCAGGGCCCAGGCACATTAATAAGATACTAGGCCACCACAACCTAGTGCAACCACCAAAATCCCCCATGCCTGAGTATCAGCCCAAGACACATTCACGAACACTGTTAACAAAGCAGCAGAAATCTAAACATCAATGGCATGAGGATAAACCACAGGCTGGCTAGAAGAAATGATACTACAGACAGCACGAGACATACTAGCCTCTGAACAGGGGGGGCCAAGACGACAGGACCAACCCAGAAGATACCCACCAAAGCAGAACCAGTTGCCTTAAGGTAACAGAGGAAAAAAACCAGCGTTGAATGTAATGAAACGCCATTTTCTGGGTGAGTCCCGGAGGCTCCCCGGAGCTATCCATGGCTGATATGGGTATCCTAACTATTTTGCATTAGTCGATGTGGGTGGAGTTCTAGGCCAACCGGGGACCACGAGCCAGAACCTGGCCCCCTCACAGAGGCACGGGGAGCAATGGCTCATAGAATGCACATGTGATTTGGAGCATTCTATATCTGCCATCGACCGGGACAGGCACCCAGAAAGGTAAGTGCCCCAAACAAACCCCTATTCTGGTTAACAAAAAAAAACTGACAAACGAGTGGACAGAACTCCCCAAAAGAAAAACGAGCAAACCAGCATGACGTCACACGAGCCGCGCCGCATGTCTGCGCAGCTCCCCCCTCCCCGGGAGGGGGAAGGGGGAGCCCCAGACCCCCGAGCCGGCGATCCACACCCCAGTTCTGAGGCTGGATATCAAAAACCGTGAAAAACCGCCGACCGGAGGGAGGGAGGGATGCCGGGGAGCCTCCGGGACTCACCCAGAAAATGGCGTTTCATTACATTCAACGCTGGTTTTCTGGGGGGAGCCCCTGTGGCTCCCCGGAGCTACCTCACCAAAGACTACTACATAAAAGGGGACTTATCCGGGAGGGGGTCGGTGCTCCACTTCTCAACTCGAAGTTGAGACAATGGGCTGCAACCACTGACCCAAAGCAACACAGGCCCGACTGGGCCCAGGAACATGCACGAGGTAGCTTGCAGCCAGGACCCTGTTCGACCACCAAAAACCCCATGCCCAAATGTCAGCCCAAGACATATTGCCAAAGATAGCAGCAAGAGCAGCAAACTTACGAATGTCATGGGCACGGGGATAGACCACAGGCTGGCTGGATTTAATAACCCTGCGGACGACCTGAGAGACCCAAACCCGCGAACAGGGAAGAAGGGAAACCGGATCAACCCAAAGCGCGTCCCTGGACACAGAAGCCGTAGCGCACAGATAACGGCGGAGGGCCGCAACCGGACACAACACATGGTGAACCCCCAGCCTGACCAACCAAGCATCCAAAACCCAAGGACCCCTCCGGAAAGCAGCAGTCTCATTCTTCGCCAGAAAAGAGGGAGACGCTGCAGACGAACATACCAAAGACCATGACCAAAGGAGCAAAAACCTCTGCGCCGGAGAAGAGCATGAAGCTCCACCACGCGACCCCCAGAGGCTAATGTCAACAGAAAAAGAGCCTTAGCAAAACAATCTTGAACCGAAGGGGCCACAACAAACCGAGGAGTGGAAAGATAGAAGAGCACTCTGTCCAAGGACCAGGACGGCTCAGGTGGCGTATGAGTAAGCTGGAGGTGAAACAATGCCCGAGACAGCTTGCGAAACGGCGCAGAAGTAACATCAATACTGAAAGCAAGCTGCAGTGGCTCCGCCAGCGCCGCACGATACGAGGCGACAGCATTAGGCATCAGATGACAGTCCTGAAACAACCAAGAGAGAAAGGACAACACCCGAACCGAAAGCGAGGAGCAACGACGAAGGGTCAAAAAGAACCTGAAGGACCGCCAAGAAACTTCATACTGCCGCCGAGAGGAAACTCGCAGGTGAGAAACCAACAAGGAAGCCACCTGCCCACCATAAAGATGGTGATAAACAAAAGTCAAAAACATCAAACGCGAAGACTCGCGGAGAAGAGCGAACCAGTCTCGTACCGGACCGACCCGATCTCCTGAAAGAGGCGGAGTCGCAGAAAAACCCCCGGGGTCGGACACCGAGCAAGCAGCGCCTGAAACCACGGCTGGGCTGGCCACCAAGGGGCCAAGAGGACCACACGACCCTGGTAAGTCTCCAAGCAAGCCAAGACCTGGAGCAGCAGCCGAACCGGGGGAAAGAGGTACAGGAACCCCCACCTCGACCAGTCTTGCCGAAAGGCGTCGATCCCGACGGCCTCGCAGTCGGGGAAGGGCGCCACATAAACCGGAAGATGCCTCGACCGTGCCAACGCGAAGAGATCCACCTCCGGGCGCCCGAACGTCCGGCAGAGCCAATGGAAGGAGCCGCATCGACCGTCCATTCCGTGGACAGGGGAACGAACATGGACAGGCCGTCCGCCAGGACGTTGGACACCCCCTGGACGTGAACCGCCAGGAGAGCCAAACCCTGAGAACTCAGCAGACGAGTCACCCGAAGAGACCAACCCCAAAGAGCCAAGGACCGCATCGAACCCCCTCGGTTCAGACAATGAACCACTGGGGAGCAGTCCGAATGGAGCCGCATCGTCGATCCGCGGGCGACCCGAATCCTCCGAAGCGCAAACCATACCGCCGCGAACTCCTGCACCGTGCTGTGGATCCAACGGAAGGACGGACCTCACCGTCCCTGGCCGGCCTGGTGAGCACTGGTCACAAAACCCCAGCCTAGGGATGACGCATCCGTGAACACATCGAGCGAGGGCTCGGGTAGGCGCCAAGGCACTGAACCCCAAAAAACCCGAAGAGGAAGCCGGCGATGCAGCAGCCAACACAAAGCCCCCGGGGGTCGAACCCAGCGATCGCGAGAGAGGTGGAAGGGACGTCCCCGAAGGAACCAGAACAGCCAACGAAGCCAAACCCGACCCGGCGGGTAGTCCAACATCGCAAAGTTCAGACTCCCGCACAGACCCTCGAGCAACCGCCGGGTGACCCGGGAGCCCCCAGAAACAGGCACAGGCGAGACCGCAGCCAAAGGAGAGACGCCGGAGGAAGAGACAAGGAAGCGGTCCGAGAGTCCAACACAAGACCCAGCTAGTTCCGACCCTGGGAGAAAACCAGACAGGACTTCTTCCAGTTCACCATGAACCCGAACCCAGCAAGCTGGGAAAGCACCAAATCCCTGGCGAGCAGACACGTGGACCGACTGGGAGCCCAAACCAGCCAGTCGTCGAGGTAAGCCAACACCCAAACACCTAAAATATGCAGACGGGCCACCACGACCCGGGTAAGGCGTGTGAACACGCGAGGTGCCAGATTCAACCTGAAAGGGAGGCAACAAAAGCGGTAAGCCTGATGCCCCACAAAAAACCGAGCCAGTCCCTGAACCCCAGATGAGTAGGGATGTGCCAATATTCGTCCTTGAGGTCCAGGGACACCATCCAAGCGCCCGGCTCCAACAGAAGCCGAACCTGGGACAGAGAGGTCATCTGAAACGAGGGGCAAGAAACCCAAGGGTTCAGACGGGACAAGTCCAGAACGAACTGCAGGTCAGCACAGTCCCGTTTCGGAACTGGAAACAGGCGGGAAACCCACCTGAGAGACTGAGGGACTCCGTCCCTCGTCGTTTCGACCACGCCCAAGCGCACCCACTCCAAGATGACCTGACGGAGCGCAGGAGAGGAAGCCTGCCCTGTCAGCCCCGAACCCCCCAAAGGAGGAGGAGCCACCCAACGCCACCGCAGGCCGCGAGAAACGACCCGAAAAGCCCACAAATCGTGAGACCAGGCGTGAGCGAACAGAGCAAGCCTCCCCCCCATTGCCCCGTCAATGGGGCGAACCGCGAAAGGGCCGCTGCCCCTTACGAGAACCCGACCTGCGCGCAGAGCGAACACCGCGCCGACCAAGCACAGGTGGGACCGCAGGCGGCACCGGCAACGAACCCGACACCTGTGGCCCACCCCGACGAACGGAACTGCGAGCCCTGGTACGACCCCGCCGGGAAGGAACCCCCTGGGTCCCCCGGAGAACCAACAACTCAGACATAGGGCGGCAAGAGGAAGAAGCCGCCTGAATATAACGTTCTACCGCAGAAGCCTCAAAAAGCAGAGGACAAAAGGGAGAAGACAACCTAAGAACCAGGGCCCAAGCGGATTCCAAAGAGGAAGCCAGGACTGCCTGATGACATGCGAAGCGCGCAGCGAAAAACAGCAGCAACGCCTCCCGCAGGATAGGCGCAAAAAGCTTCAACATGGCAGACGAC